ATATAATGTAGTAATTTTTTTAACAAAATCCTATTGAAGTGTTCAAAAACAGACATTTTGTCTGTTGTCAAGTTTATTATTCAACAAAATGAAATTATGCTAATAGAATAAAATTTCAAACACTGTTTTTTTTTCAAATAAAATGTTACGTAATCTTTCAGATTGTTACGAACGTTTAACATTTTTACTATTTTGTTTAAATTCACTATTTTTTTGTGGGGAGGGGGATTTATTCCATATGAATCAGAAGGGGTTTTGTGGAGATTGTAGTAATTTAACTAGTTGAGATCATGAGTCAGTTGAAACTAGATCACCATGGAAAACCTGGTACCACCAGATGACCATTTCGTCCTATTGTGGAACTTCTTAACAATGCACATCCACAATCCCGCCTCACGAGATTCGAACTCAGGGCCTATCAGTTTTGCGCGCGAGCGCTTAACCACTACACCACTGCGCCGGTTGGCATCCAGCGGTGTTAATGTTTAACCTAAACCAATCCACGAAATTGAGCGACACAACCACCATTGTCTTCAATGAGTTACTATATCACTACTATCGTGGAGCGCTTTACCATTAGACCATGGTGGTCTAGCTTCAATTGACTCATGGTGTCAACTATTAAAATTACTACCATCTCCACAAAACTCCTTCTGATACAAATTTGTCAGTTATATTAACTAAGCAAAAAAATATTTGATATTAAACATACACTAAAAAATGAAGTAGATAATGAAGTTGTTTATTTGTGTTTTATTTGACTAGTTGATTTGATTGTACTGTTATATAATATTTTCAGTACTAACAGTAGTGTAAGTAGTCTTAGTAGTGATATTGTTTTTTCGTAATATTGGAATTTTTTTCCTAAACTTAATAATAGACAATTTTAATTGGCTAAAACTTCCTAAATTACTTGCACATACATAGTCTGATAGGAAAATAAAACGGAGGTATTATCAGGTATGTAATCAATAATTTTGAATCCATTTTCTTCACTCAGATAGATGTGCACAGACGTATATACAGACTTAAAAAATATATTCTATTTAGATACGAACTGATTTGGTATTAATGAACTTTCTAGATTAGGTTGTATGGGTGTAATACATTCGTTTTTCAGTGTTACAATCATAGAAAAGAACGAATTCAGAATTACATGAAAACAAACAGGTGGATAAATGGGATTGTGACGTATAGGAAAATACCAATTATGTATTTCTGTATTTTTGTTTAAAAAAAATATGTAACCGTGAAATGAAGGTAACAGAATACTGATGATTTTTGTGATTATTCTCATGTGACATTACGCTTCACACTGTATGTTTAATTCGTTTTCTACCTAGTGTCTAAAACATTTCACCTAAAACATGTTGGGAAGAGGATATATGGTTAAAATGTATGTTTATTAGCCACTAGTCTTCAATCAACGTCACCTTAGTGATTGATTACACAACCATATTCTGAATAGAAGCTGTAGCTAACGTTTTTTGTTGTCTTCTGTGAATGCAAACTAAATTCTTAGATTTACACCTACTTCCCAGTTTTAAAGTTCTTCATTTTTTTATAATTGGGTAAGTTATAGTGTAAGTGATTTGGCCAGATACTGACTAAGTTTTTCCACAGGAAGTGCGTGAGCATATAACGGATCGTGGCTGTTTTTTTCGGATAAGAAATCCTGACAATGTTTTATATTTATGTTAAATGTTGTCTAATCTCCTATTTCATGGGGAGCTTTTCACATTCTTCCGTTTACTCTGATGAGTTTGTGATCTTCATAACATCTAAACAGAACGATTGTCTGTCAGGTTGTTTATCGACTCGGTTTTTACGTTCAGTATGATCATAAATGTGCTTCTTCATATTACACTTTTTCGTAACAGTGGAAATCTGATTCAATCACACTCTTGTTTATGTAATTGCAATTATTAAGAATTATGAAAGGAAAATTCCCAATTTTATCATTAGTATCGAATCAATTTTTTTGAATAATGACAGGAAATACTCTACTTCAACCCAACATGTTAAAAATTTTTCTTCATAGTTTCAGCATCGCTCTCCATGCATTTATGACACCACAACTGGATAACCAGTAGGTAAGTAGTGCATCGAAATCCAGAACACCAATCTCAGCCTTTGAGATATGAATCATGCATTTCAAATATACAGGGTCTATATACAAACCAAACAGACCAAATCATACCATAAAATAGAAAATAACATTTGTACAAGATCTAGTTAAATGTGACTGTGAATGTGAGAGACTGTAATTAATAGACTGGGCATAACTCGGGGACGGTAAATTGTATAATAATAATAGTCTATCGGTCAAAATAAAGCTTATAAGAAGAGAAATATGAATATTCATAGTTTAGTTACTTAACAATTATACAATAAAAATATATGAGTAGTATAAGTCCATAAATGGATCCCAACAGTTAGGGATATATCAGTAAATCATCATCCTTGATATTTATATTAACAAAGTTTTACTACTTAACATTGGTGAGTAGTTTTGATCTTTGAACAATTAGTTGAATACCGAAATTTCCGAACTATCAAAAATTAAATTTATAGGATTTAAAGTCTATTCCAAGTTGTTGTTTTTTTAATAAACAGTAAATGAGATCAGATGACAACTAAGAGAATATTACTAATTATCAATATCAGAATATATATCAGATTATATAAAAACTTTGAAAATGAACTGTTACTGATTAATCAGATGAATTAATTAAACAATTAAATCTACTATCTGCAAAGTTGTAATGTACTTTTGAAATAACTTTTAGACTAACAGTTTTATAATTTGTTATGAAATGACAAGAACAATGATTTATGATCCCACTAATGATTGTTATGAACATACATTAAGAAAACCACCAAACTGCATCACAATGGAAGCCTTAATTTGGAATCCTGAAGGGAAGAGGAAAAGAGGAATGCTGAAGGACACGCTAAGACTGTCCAGGTCAGGGTTGAGTGGAGAGGGCTGATGGGCAACCTATGCTCCTCCATGATACGTAATAGGCATATGTAAGTAATCATTTGTATATAGGACAAAGAAATACAAAGCTTACTATTGATTACTATCGTAAAATTTTTCAACATGGAAATCATTATGACTAGACATACTAAGAATTTTTTCTGTTCTAGATGAAATTTGAAGAAAATTGTTTATTAAATGATTCTATCAGATAGGAAGTTATTGGGGATGTTGTCATTATTCTCAAGCAAAGTATACACGTTTCGTCATATTAATTCATAGTTTTATAATGAATGCAACAAAAAATATATGTATGAGCTTGAATTCTATAGTGAACATCAGTTCTGTCAGAATTAAAGGTGAACCTTGGTGATATGTGTCATCCAGTATAACACTGATTTACAGGAATTCCAGTTGACCACCTAATCTAGTCGATTGTTATCACTGAATCATAAACTCTCTTGATTGGTTTAATAATTTCGTATATAGATGTAAATATTACTGGATATTAGAGTAAGGGCTGATGAAGACTTAACTGAAAACAATATTGTTCGCTTATATATATTGTTCTAATTCACAATATGGGAATTTTTCAAATTCACAGTCGGTCAGTTATGCACAACGTGGAACTTGGCAATTACGCACATTGATTCAAGTTGCCGCATCATATTACACAGAAAGATCCCAGAGTAGTATAAGTAGTAACAATATTAAAGGTAATAGAAAAGATTAAAGACAGGTGATATAACCCAAGAAACAAACATAAAATCATTGAATAAAATTTTTTAGAAGAATTAGTAAACTTAGAACCTAGAAGAAGACAATGAGTAAATACACTTGTGATATTCTAGGCCAAATATTGGTTAAGATAATTGCACAGACTCCAACTAAATAGTCTGTACCTAATTATATTAGCTCAGTTCAATTGTCAATTCACAATAAAGTACCAACATTTTTATAGTATAACAGTTCAAGGTTTCTAATCGCACATTTAAAAAAAACTATTCCAAGAACAGAGTAACTAGTGAATGGTCGAAAATTACTCCGAATTAAATTTTTAACAAACTTGATCTATTTTAAAATTCTAACATACAGTTAAGAAAAGAATGACAGTATCTTCTGCTTTGGATTCCCCAGAACATAATTTAAACAACACATGCAAAGCTATACTCAACTTTGAATGTAATGTTGACGGATTATCTACATGTAGAGAAACATGTATAATTAATTCTTAAAATGATATGTAATATCAATAGTTGAGATGATGAGTCATTTGAAGATAGATCACTATGGAAAACCTGAAAGCACTAGACGGGTGTTTCGTTCTGTTGTGGGACTCCTAGTATTCCCAGTGCTTCTTGATTTTTCATGGTAGTCTAGCTTCATTTAACACATGATCTCTACTATTAAAATTATTATGAGATCCACGAAAACCCCTTCTGATTTATAGCAGTTGAAGTTGACTAGAATATTTCTGCATTTACACATTTGTAAAGATAATATTCATAAATCAATTTTCTTGAATGAGATTTTCAAAAATGAAAATGACCATGATGTTGATATTGGTAGGTAACTGAATTTTCACGACATTTGTCTTATTACAGGATTGAATACAATATCTCGTAACTGGATCATTTTGCTTTAAACATAGTCTATGAACACATATACATAGGATTAATAAACAAGCATGGATACCACCAATAGTTATATCACTATTATTATTATTATTATTGTTATTATTATTATTATCACTACTACTACTACTACTGAAGTGAACGAAAACTCAGGTAAAGTTAACTGACTATCATATAACGCGTAAGCACACAGTGAATTTGTAAAATATCGAAATTATACAATAAATACATCATTCATATATCTTCCTTCAGTTGTTCTTTGAATAATGCGTCATTCTACAAATCCAGTTTTTATTTTGATCGCTCTCTTTTCATTTCTCTTCTCTTTATTTAACTCTTCTGCTGGTAGGCATTCCACTTCCAATTCCCGCTACATACTGCTTATGTCTGATCGCATAAGTGGTGTTCACCACACTACTACTACTACTACTACTACTACTACTACTACTACTACTACTACTACTACTACTACTACTACTACTACTACTACTACTACTACTACTACTACTACTACTACTACTACTACTACTACTACTACTACTACTACTACTACTACTACTACTACTACTACTACTACTACTACTACTACTACTACTACTACTACTACTACTACTACTACTACTACTACTACTACTACTACTACTACTAGCTCTCCACAGCGGGTAACTGTACTAAATAGGCAAGCATACCACTTTGGTTGATTAGGTAGTGTATGTTAATAGTATCTTGTATCCCATCATATAATTCACTCGTCAACTATAAAAAATATTTAGATGTTAAGTGTTTGTAGTAGTGGACTCAAAACTGTGGATTTATGATTTGTGCTAGTTAGCGTTTTTTCGTAAATCTTATCTGCAATCTTAAGGGGACTGCGGATCAGTGTGAAATTTAAATTTTAGTCACTCGGTTTCACAGTCTGAGACGTTATCACCACTGAGTTATTTGGGCGACGACTGACCTCCTGTACGACTGGGATGATTATAATCGAAACCAAAAGACGTATGTTCATATCCTACAGGGAAAGTTAGTTCTCTCAAGATTATAGATACACCATGATGAAGAGTGCCAACTAGCACGAAACTCAGGTCAAAATTTTCCTGCCGATTACCTCTAATCGCCCAATATCGAAACATTGTCTAAACGACATCGACACTTGGGCTAGTGGCTGCTGCACTTCAACTTGATCGATAGAAACTGATTAGCCATAAGAATTTAACTAACATAAAATTAGTCACTAATCAATGATCCCTCTAATACGTACAAATCAAATGCTCAACCAGTATTCTACTGATTCTCTCTTTTGAAGTATATTTGGTTGGAATTTAAGAGACAGTTCAGTGACCAAATTATCTCTTCTGTAGAATTTATCATTATCACTAGTTATATCATTCGATTGAATTGTCTCAACAAAGTAACTGTGGAAAATATCTCTAGAATTTATTTTATCAAACGTGAACACAGGTGGGGACAACCAAATGAACTTGAATACGGCACTACAGAATACCATGGCAGAATCTGAGAACCATACAGTAAATACTTTATTTACAAAATGCCAATCAATTGTCTCCGACTTGATTTTTCCTTCATTTCCACATCAATCACTCTATGTTCTCATTCTCTTCTCTTCAATCTTCTTAACCTTCTACCACCAGTCATTTCATATTCAATTGATGATACATATTATTTATAACTGTCGACATCGATAGCACGCACCAAAATATAACATATCCTATTTTACAATGTGTGAAGTTCAAACACATTCAGTCATAATACTGTCTATTGTTTCTATATGATATACATAAATTTAAATGGTGATATGTTTTACTTTCTAGAAATGGTTTGATAAAATTTTGTGAACATTTTACACATCTGATATACATATTTAAGTCATAGAGATTAGATTCGATATGCTGGAAAATTATTTGATCTATATATTTTGTTGTTTTTTTCTTGGGGGGGGGAGGGAGGGGCGTTCATAACTAAAATGTGTCTATTTTGAAGATTATTAGTTCGTAGATTGAGAAGTTCCATAGGGTTTATTTGTAACTTATTGTAAATATGAATTGTATGAAAATAAATTCACCTAGATATAAAGTAGTAGATGTGTGAATATGTCTGACTGATGTTAAATGAAAAAGAATCAATGAATCATATACATATATAGCAAAATGCAGATAAATGGACAGATATGTATGTAGTTGATTAAACGCATAGCTTAGAACTTAATAAACGAAGAGTTTATAAGTCAATAGAATCATACACACAAAAAGTTAGATTTTTATTTTTACATTTTTTTTCGAAAATCGATTTATTTTCAAGTGATATTCATAATAAATTGGGTATTATTGAAATTCATAGTGATCCGGATGGTAGATACGTCACATTATTGAACTCCTCATTAGGGCATATTCACGACCACATCAGGACTGGAACTCAGGGCTTTCATACGACATTGCAAACATTCAAAATTCATACTGTTTTTATAAACCAACATCGAGTAATGTTATCATATAACTGGTAATAAACATATAAACATCTCTATGAAATGTACAATACACCTGAAAAAAAGACTCCTTTGATTAAATGTTCAATTATTTTCGTTGTTATACAAATGAATAAACTAATTTGAACATACTGGTTGAAATCATGAGTCAATCAAAGCTAGACCACCATGGAAAACCTGGAAGCACTGGACGGCCGTTTCGTCCTAGTATGGGACTCCTCAGGAGACACTCCTGGAGTTCTAGTGAGAAGTCGTTATCAGTGGAGTTCCACCAGTTCTGTTGTGAGATAGGAACTCACTGAAGACAATGATGTACGCTGGCGCAACTTCGTGGATTGGTTGAAGTTAGACATTAACACCGTTGGATTCCGGCTCAGTGGTCTAGTTGGTTAAGCGCCTGACTCGAGACTGATAGATCCTGGGTTCGAATCTCGCGGGGGGCCGGATCGTGGATGCGCACTGCTGAGGAGTCCCATACTAGGACGAAACAGCCGTCCAGTGCTTCCAGTGAAATTTCTAAAAATCTCCACAAAACCCATTTTGATAATAATTTGAACTTAATCTAGTTAATGCATAAATATGTACGTGTCTCTACAAGATTAAAATTAAATTACATTTATATGGTATGATAAATATAAACAAACACTAAATTATATTAAAGAAAGAAAACAATTTCATTTAAAGTTAATTCATCCACTTACTTTATCCCCCCCCAAACAAAATAAATCAGTAAAACATTGTGAAAACGTGAGAAAATGTAAAAATTACAGTATTCTGATTCAAAATTATAGTTCAACTAATTAGTGTAATTGTAATTTGTTTGTATAATGGTCATTCATATATTTGTAACCGAAAAAACAAATTACAGAGAACACATAAATTGTATTCAATTTTATTTTAGACAGACTAGATAAATTACAATGATTGAGATCATGAGTCAATCGAAACTAGACTAGCATGGAAAACCTGAAAGCACTGGATGGCTGTTTCGTCCTATTGTGGGACTCCTCAGCAGTGTGCATCCACGATAGCAGTGAGATAGTAACCCACTGAAGACAATAGTGAATTGGTTGAAGTTAAACATTATTACCGTTGAATAAAGGCTGGCTCAGTGGTCTAGATGTTAGGCGTTCGCGCACAAGACTGATAGGTCCTGGGTTCAAATCTCGTGAGGCGGGATCGTGGATGGGCACTGTTGAGTAGTCCCACAATGAAACGAAATAACTATCCAGTGCTTCCAGGTTTTCCATAGTGGTCTAGTTCCAATTAACTCATGATCTCAACCAGTGAATTTAATATATTTACAAAAAAACCTTCAAAATGGATAAATGAATGTTTGTCTAAGTCGATTGATCAATGGGATATCCTTTCTTGTATATGTATGTGTTTAGACATATGTACTTGTGTGTGTCTGTGTGCGGACAGAATGATGTATTCCCATTCTCATCTACAGCAGATTAGGTTAAGACTTCCCTCTTCTTTATGCTTATAATAATCATTCATTGTGTTAAAAAACCATATTATATTAGTTACCTTTTACATATTATTTAAATAGTAAATAAATATTTTGTAAACATTCAAATGAGAACTTTTTTATTGACACTGGTTAACAATGTTATTAGTTTGGAATGAGCAGTTCTGTAAGAATTAAGATAACTTTATTAAAACAAATAGTGACAATATCTATATATTCAGCAACATTATTGAATTCTAATTGAATGAGGTCAAAAGATAAGCATGAATATTGATTAAAATTAAAGGTTACCATATATATTCACTGGTGAATAACTGATGTAAACATATTTAAAAGTTACGGTGGATAACGTTTATCTAAAGTATGTTCAATTATCCAACTAGAATTAGTTGTGAATATATAGTTTCTACAAAGTTAAGAGTTAACATATGTATATCCAATACTCTTCAGTGACTTATTATTGTTACTGATCAATGCTTAAATAAAAGTTTAATTACGATAAAGTCTATGTGAGTATTCTGTGGTAATGTAGAATCAGATACAATAATAATTAAAAATTCTCTTGTGGTTACTTTCACATCATTCTAGTAATACAAACATTAAATATTAGAGAAACGAAAAAAATACACAATAGCTTTCTGAACTTAGTGGCTAAACGGATCAGGCAATGGGTGTTTAAAGTAAATGATACTGCGTTAGATCACTGGAATGAAATCCAACACGGATGCAGGTACATCCAGCTGATGAGTTCCAAATAGAAAGGAATGCTCCTTCGTTTTTCTCTTGGTAGACACTAGCCAACATTTTTGAAATCGACTTTTGTCTACAGTTTTTTTCTTAATTTTCATTCCCTTCATCTCATTTACTGTATTAGGTCACTTTAATAAATAAATTTTAAAAAATTGATCATTTAAACATAAACTAAATTCTTTGAATGTTTCATACAACTATCATCATTAAGGGAAAAGAATATCTTTGTGTGATAACGACTGTCATCAAACATTTATCAGTGAATAAGACATAACATGAAAGCAAAGGATGGAATGTACTGAAGTTGGAAGGAACCTATCTCTGTACACTTTAATTTCAAGAATGGTCGCATTGCCAAGAAAATCGGTTTCAAATTGTAAACTAAACAGTTAAGAATTGATTCACAGTTTTTAACGTATTCTGCAGAAAATGACTGACAGATTTACATATATTCATAAGTCCAGACGTCCAGTATATATTCAATAATGTACGCATTATGTTAATATCAACAGGCAGGGGAATTCGAACTCGCTTCACCTAACTAAACTCTCGCGATTTCGATCTAGATGATAATAGTAATGGTGAATATTAATTTTCTACACAGCAGTACAAAGCAATGTGATATTATACCTATCAAAAATACCTCTGTAGATAATCCTATAATTTATAAGAGTCATAAATTTCATCAGATGACTTATATAGACCAACATATTGCCTTCATTTCGTCTAGTAACCTATAACTATGATTGACAAAAATGCAAAGAAATGTCAGTTAATCATTGTTTTAAGTGACTTCACTATCAAGCCTCTAAATCATTATCATTATTTGTAAGGTAAGAAACATTTACTTTGGGATTTAGGTTTACTAAGGAGTTTAAAAGTTATTTATACAAACTTTATAATCAAGAATTTCATAGACTAACAACCCTTTTCAATGATTTATTTCCTCATTTACACAACATTACATCTGAACT